ATGTTTAATACTCTAATTATACATGCATCTTGAATTTTGAAGAATTTGAACTAATTCAATCTCATATTTTGAAGAGAAAAAGGAATAGTTTTGAAAATTATGAATTTGTTTGATTTTGATCTTTAATCTATGCATGTAATTTAATTTAAAAGTTTTATTCAATTTAGACAAATTTTAAAATATCTATGATCATAAATTAAGTTTTTGATTACAAATTAAGTTAAATTAAAACTCTAAGAAATTGATTTTGTAATTCATTAGTTAAGTTTGATTTTTGTTATTAATAATGAAATTGGGTTCTATTTTTATATACATCATAAAATTTTCAAGAGTTTGGAAACTTTAATTCATGTTTTAAAATTTGTGGGTTTGATATAAAGAAAATAAATTAAATCTAAATTTGGACAAATTTGGAAATAAATTATAATTTATATTTGAGAATCAAAATTAGTTTGATTTTGATTTAAATTTCTTACATGTAAATATTTTTGAAAAGACTTTATAGCTTTAATTTATGTTTTATAAAACAAGGAAAGAAGAATGCTGGAATTATTATATTCATGAAATTATTGGTTTTAATCTTAATGATCAAAGAGATTTTTGTATTAGAAATTGGAAAATTAGTCATGGGTTCATCTTTATTAATAAAATTACATGTTTAAGTTTTGAAAATGTGTTTGGAAATTATTTTGTTGGTTTTGAAAGGACAAAAAATTTGCTGGCCGCTCGAGCGGTAAAGTCACCGCTCGAGCGAACATTAAGGCCAACTAGTATTTTTACAGAACTTTGCAGACCGCTCGAGCGACCAAAGGTGCGCTCGAGCGAGGACCCTATTTTCAGCAATTTTTGACTAACTCTTTTAAATGCATAATTGCATCCTCATGACATTCTAAATATTCTTAGGCACCAATTGGACTCACATAGTCATGGAATGAGCTAGAAACACATAAAGAGAGTTGAATTAAAATGAAATGAATATTGAATGGTGCTTCTATTGTGTTTTTGTTATGTGATTTGTTTAAGTGGACGTTCGAGGCCTTATATCGACTTAACCCATTATGAGTAATTACTTTATAAAGATATGTTCAAGTGATATTTATTTTCAAAAATGTTATTGTTATCGACATCAATACATGATTGATTGAATGATTTATCAAAGTACTATTTGTTACTAATGAATGAAGTTCATTTTTGTAAGCAAACTCGTGGCATCCTTTAAATAGGCCCTTGCCAGGGGGAAATTAATACCATGGCCCATTGTTAAATAGGCCTTTGCCTGAGGGAAATTAATACCATAGCCCATTGGCCTTCGCCGAGGGAAACAATACCACGGCCCATTGGATAATTGAAATACAAAAATCTCTGCAGTTAGGCCTTAATGATCGCATTGAACAAGATATATTGATTGACCCTTGAGGTCTCATTATTATTGATACATTGTTATTCTATTGAATGTACCACGAAAATTGTCATTGAATGAGTATTGTTATTGAGATAACATGGATCATTGAGAATTGGATTGAAATTGGAATTGTAACGAAAATGCTATCAAACAATAGTTTTTGTCATTGCAAAGGATTGATATGATGGCTAATCAAACTGTTTTGCCTATTGAAATGGATTGATTCGGAAATTGAAATATATGATTTGACATGGAAAATGGTTTGTTATAAAGTTGATATAATATGGCAAATGCCTTACTTTAAAAATGATTTAAGATTCGTTTCGAAATCGTAAGACAGGTTTTTGTATTATCGTTGAACTTCATTCATTTAACCCCTTTATTCTGTTATTACTCGTTAGGCTTTAGCTCACTACTTATATGTATATGTAGGTGAGCAAACTGAGCATCAAAGATAGAGAAAGTCTCGGAGTCTACCCGTGTTAGACTTTTGAAGAGCTTCTGGAATGAATCAAGTTAGGCTCGAGTAAAGCCAAGAAAATCAGCCCTTAGCTTTGTCAGAGCTTTGTATTTTGCTAAGTATTAAATGTATATGTGTGTGAGATATATAAGATTTGTATATAAATTATTATTGTGTTTAAATGTTTTAATTATTTAGTCATCATGTATGCACAAGTTCAATGGACATTACTATTTTTGTTTTGCTTCCGCTTTAGGTCTCAATATAATTTAAATATTTTGAAATTTTGTCTTTGAAGCTGAAGGTAATTTAGGATTACTAGCCGGTTACGACGTTAAACCTATAGGGGCAGATTTGGGTCGTGACATAAGGATAAGAATTGTGATGGCTTAGTTTGTCATTCCATGATTTTTTTGTTTTTATGTTGTAGGAATGGATGATGAATTGGTAGCATTTTTTTATAAAAAAGAAGGCAAATTTCATGAACACACAAGACTTTCATTCATCTTACTCTTTATTTTTCTCACCTTAACCCTTGGAAATGCTAAGCTAAAGACTATTCAAGAGGTCAAACTGGGTAATGCAAACGAAATGTAAAGAAGAAAAATAAGTCCCGTTTATTTTTGAGACCTACAGGTTTAGGTAGAAGATGAAATGCTTTTTTGTTTATGTTTTTTTTGTTTTTTTTGTTTTTGTTTGATGTTGTGAAATGCCTTTTTTGGTTGAAGGGATGGTTTTATGGCTCTAAAATTGAAGGAATTAGTAATTTTTGTGCCATCACCTTATATGTCAGTGGAAATATGCCACAACTACATAGTGGTTAGGATCTTTTTTTTGATTCATAACTATAGAGTGCTTAAGATTGATTTAATAATTTTCTAGGTCATGTACATATGCAAATAAAAATGAGATCAATTACATTTTCAATTTCCTTACCTAATGTACATAGGTTGTGTTTTAACTTTAGATTTGTGAAGAGATTTGTGAAGAAAAAAAAGATATAAGATTTTTTTTTAATTTAAAAAAACATGCGTATAGTTTCTACTTTATTTTTCTTTATCAATCATTGTTTTTTTCCTTCCTTTTTTTTCTCTCCATAAATACAAAAGTCAAACACAGTATAAAATTTCACTAATAAGGGATTTATAAAGTATATTTTATTAATATAAATATAGAGAAAATAAGTCCTCTTTGCATTTAAAAAAAAAAATTTATTGAGTCCTACTATCATTATATTCATTTATATTGACCTATCTAAATAAAAAAATTTATGAAAAAAGTAACACTTGACTGAGAATTTTCCAGTTAGGCCTTAGGTCTCGTTTGACAAGTGTCCCTTTTAGTCAAAAAATTAAAAAGTTATTAAAAAAATTAAAAAGTCAACAACATATACTAAAAAGTCAAAGATTCCATTTTCTCTCTACTTTTTGCATATCTTTTCGTAAAAAGTCAAAAAATTATCTCAAACATACTATTTTTTTTACATTACATTTTAGTCAAAAAATTAAAAAATTACTAAAAAAATATATTCCCAAACGAGACTTAAAATAGTCTACAACTTAAAAAATCACTACAAAAAATTAATTATTCTCTTTATTTTTACACATCTTTTTATAAAAAATTAAAAAAAAAAACAAACCACTTAAAAATTCATCTTCTCAAAACAATCCTTATTGCAATCAACCCGACTCTCTTAAGTCATTTGAATTCCCAATCAACTCAATTATTCTCTTTATTTTTTTATTAAAAAAATTTTAAAAATAATTTTCCCAAAACAAACCTTATTGCAATCAACCCAATTCTGTTAGGTCATTTGGATTCCCAATCACCAGTTGCTCAAATTGGTTTAGTTAGTCACGTGATGAAGCCCTAACAAATCATAGATTACCTGTGGGCGTTTGGATGCAAAGTTCTAAAAAGTCTATAAACTATGGGTAAATTACATTCCCTCTTTCTTAAATTTAGAAAAAATACAATTATTCTTATACTTTTAACATAATTGTATATACATCTTAAGGTTATAATTCATATAAAATTTAAGTTATTTTTTATCAATAATTCGTCAATTGTATGAATAAAAAAATAATACTATCATTTATTTCTGACTATATTTATTTATTTTTATTTATTTTAATATTTACCTAGTATTAGTATTAACTTGAATCACTTTAGTCTAATTATGTTAAAAATGTGGGGCTGGCTGTATTTTTTTAAACTTCAAATGAAATAAGTATAATTTACCTATAAGCTATTTATCATCAGTTAAAAAGTTAAATGTTATATTAAATTTTTTGACTTACCAACAAATAATTTATTTTTATTAATTTCTTAAATACATAAATTTGTTTAAATTTAATATATATATATATATATATATATATATATATATAAATCACTATAAAAAAAATAAACAAACAAAATAATAATAAACATGTAAACAACTAACCCAACCTACCCCAAACCCACCAAAATACAAAATATGAAATGAGGATTGCTAGACCGAATTCAAATAGCCAATGTACAATCGTCTGAATTTTTTCTTTTTTACTTTTTAAAAAAAAATATACATATACAAAAGAAATCGGAAAAAGGGTGTGAGAATTTTTTGCTTTGGGAAGGCTAAATCATCATAAATTTTTTTTTTTAAAAAAAAGGAAAAAAAACTTTTAAGTCAATGTGAACAAATAACTTTATTTTCAATACTCTTAAAATTTTCATAACGTGATTACGAAAACTTCACAATATTATAAGAATAACATGATAATTTCTCAATAAAATAAAAAATTTTAAAAACAAAATACCAAATCCAATCTAATTTTTGAAAAAAAAAAGACAAATACCAAATCCAGTCTAAGTTTTAGTAAAATTTAGAAAAAATAACAGCACAGTTGGATAGTAGAACAAAAATTATAAATCAACGAAAAAATTTATACATTTAATAATTAAAATATTATATTTTTTTCATAATTTTATAATTTTTTTTACTGTCATCACTGTGCAATTATTTTCTCTATAATTTATATACATAAAATATATAAATTTACTATATTAAAAAGAAAAAGAAAAAAGAAATGAGTGAGCTTCTCATGTCATGTAGTTGGAGGTGGTAGGTAGATGAAAATACCCGGGGGGAAACAATTTATAATCTCTCTCCCTCTAGTTTCGTGTTTGGAGGTTGATGGGGGTTGGTGGTACACTGGTTGGTGATGCTCTCTCTCTCTAAGAAATTTGTTTCAAGAGTAGTGGGTAGCTACGGACCAGCCAAACTTGCTCCTCCATCTTCTCTTCATAAGCCTATTTCACTGGTCTCTTTAAGTCTTACTGCTATTTCAACCGAGGTCCTAGTAATTCCCATTTCTTATTTTTGTTGATTATGTTTTCAGATGCATAATTTAGTCCCAAAATCTTGAAGTTGTAGTAGAGTGAGCTTCCCATTAGAAATCTTTGATCTTTTTGAATATCAAAAACAAGTGATTTTCTTGGACCATTGTTGTGATGCGGGATTCCTGAATTGGGATTTATCTTTGATTCATAATTTCATTTCTACTTTCAAATTTATGGGATTTTCTTTGTTGGGTTTCTTCACGATTTGATTCTTTTTGTGCAGGGTTGTTGGCTCATTTTGATTGATAGCTCAAAAATGTCACTGGAAGTGGTAAATCCACATGAACAGGTAATCGCTCTGCAATTTATTTAGGCTGTGTTTGCACTATGATTTGGGTAAGGATTTGTGGATGAAAAAGGGAAAAAGTGAGGGAAATGTGAATGAAATGTTAACTAAATTCTTTGTCCTTTCCCTCACCTTTTCCTTCCCCTTCCAAATCCCTGCTCAAATCCATATCCAAATACAACCTTATAGTTTTCAGATTAAGCCCTTCCCACCCCACAACTCTTTTCATTTGTTACCTAAAAGCAAAACAACTGCTCAAAACACTAAATTAGGGGTATTGTTGTGATCACTCTTCAGGTTGTTCTTGGTGAAGAAATAGATCATGTGCGAATGATCACCTTGAACCGGCCTCGTCAATTGAATGTCATTTCATCAAAAGTGGTAAGCAGAAGCATCCAATCTGATCCGTATAAAGTTTTTTAATGCAAGGTTTAAGTTTTTGAAATAATTTTTGTGATTAAGGAATGCTTTTGTTTTTGGCAATAAGGTTTCTTTACTAGCAGAATACTTGGAAAAATGGGAAAAGGACCAAAATGCAGACCTGGTGCTAATCAAGGCTAGTACCCATACTTCAATTCTTCGCCATTACTGTTATTTTTACATTATATATACCACACGACTCTGATAAAATAGAATTATTAAACGTAAATGTAACTGCCTCATCTTATTGAAGTTAGGTTGATGGATTTCCTTGGTGTTTCAAACTTTATAGTCTTGCTTATGTACTTTTATAGGGAGCTGGCCGTGCTTTTTCTGCTGGTGGTGATTTGAAAATGTTCTATGATGGAAGGAACTTGAGTAAGTACGTCATCATAATGTAATTTTAAGTTGTGTTTGGATCATGAATTTGGGTAGGGGTTTGGAAAGGTGAAGGAAAAAGTGAGGAGAATGTTAATGAAATATAAGCTAATACCCAAGTCTAACCCTTATCCATGATCCAAACACAAACTTAGTATACCAATTGCTTTGGCAACAAGGTCACTTATAAGTTGGCTTTCTTCTGCAGAGGATTCCTGCCTTGAGGTGGTCTATAGAATGTATTGGCTTTGCTACCACATTCATACCTACAAGAAGACCCATGTAAGACATGCATTTGATCTTATATCCCAACCCTTGTAAACAGGGACGGAACCAGGATTTCATTATTAGAGGGTCCAAAAGAAAATAATTTTTTTACCATATACACAAAAACACACATGTATGTATATATGATATATGAATTATATATACATAAAAATAAATAAATAAATACCATAGAAGCAATTTCTAATAGAATGAATAAGTTTTTTTTTTTTTTTTTATGTAAAAAAGAAAGAGAATTCAAGATGGAAGAAGAATGACATATTCTTTTTATATGGGCGCGGGAGGGAGGGGGGGGCATTTTATATATAAAATGATATATATATATATATATATATTTAAAGTTCTATGGAAAACAATAATGTTCATAGAGACAGGGGGGCCAAGGCCTCTCATAATCTTCTCCTAGTTCCGTCCCTGCTTGTAAAGGAAAACCACTTTTGAGCTTATCCCAGTAATGAAATAAATAAATAAATAAAAGATAGAGATAAAGAAATAAGAAAAAACGAAGAAACGAAGAAAGATTTCTGATCATTTTTCCAGGCCCAGGTTATTATATTTGCTATTTAGCTGTTGTTAACATTTCCAGGTTGCTCTTGTTCATGGAATTTCCATGGGTGGAGGTGCATCTTTGATGGTTCCAATGAAGTTCTCAGTGGTCACAGAAAAGGCTGTGAGTATTTGGTGCTTCTTAAATTTCAGTTTTTATGGTTGTAATTATTTGGGGCCTGAAATGCTAAATTTCCAATTCTGCACCATTTAACAAGACTTTTCTCTGGTGTGTGAATAGGTTTTTTCTACTCCAGAAGCAAGTATTGGGTTTCATACTGATTGTGGTTTCTCATACATGCTTTCTCATCTTCCTGGGCATTTGGGTAAGTATTCTGCTATCACTTGGGTACTGACATACATCATATCAGATTCTTTATTCATCTTATTAATAAAGATGAAGTCATATTGATACAGTGTGGAATGTATGCAGGGGAATTTTTTGCCTTAACAGGAGCGAGGCTGAATGGTAAGGAATTGGTTGCAATTGGACTAGCAACCCATTTTGTCCCTCTTGAGGTGAGTTTTCAACTCTCTTATTCAATTCAGTACCGCTACATCCACACAACTTTTACAGCCCAAATGCACACAATTGAGACTCTTACCAGTAAGAGTTTCCAAAAGAATCTCATTTGGGCAGATTTGGGCAAACCAAATTGTGTGGATGAATCATTAATCTATTCAATTATAGTTTTCTGCCATTTAATCATGCGTGGGAACTTTGTTCATGGTACTAAGGCATGCTTATATGAAGTATTAGACAGCTATGAGGGACATAGATGCAAAAATTAGTGTTGGTTTCATAATAATAATAATAATAATGTCCCTCATCTGATAAATGTTTGTGAAATATTTGCCTTGAATATGCATTGTCTCCCTACAGCCTGTAACAGTATTTATTATGGCAACTATAAAAGGAGCATAACCTTTAACACTTGTACAAAATTTAATTGACTAGGCTGAAAAATGGTTGTCTTGTGTACGCGTTACTATGTGATTATTATACACTGTTTGTGTTCTAACCGTAAACTACGAAGACGTATCAATTGGGCTTAGTGGAATATGCATGGAGGCATGTGAGTGTTCAATAAGTGAACAGTATTTATTATGGCAACTATAAAAGTAGCATAACCTTTAACACTTGTACAAATTTAATTGACTAGGCTGAAAAATGGTTGTCTTGTGTACGCATTACTATGCGATTATTATACACTGTTTGTGTTCTAACCATAAAATATGAAGACGTATCAATTGAGCTTAGTGGAATATGCATGGAGGCATGTGAGTGTTCAATAAGAGTGTTCAATAAGCGATCTATCACTCTCAAGTAAAGAGAGAGAATATCATTCCCAACCACCAATTCTCGACACCTAACCTTTGTTCCACTTGGTATTGAAGCATAATTGGTTGTTCCAATGAATTGTAACTGTTCTTACTTTTATTTGATTATATTAATGTTTGATGATATGTTGATCAGAAAGTGTGTTAAACATGTAGTAAATCTGTAAGAAAGTGTTTTTCTTTCAACACAAATGAAAGGAAGTAAGAAGGCGCCTTATCAAATATTTCATTATTCTCTGCCATATGATTGTTCTTCTGTTTCTTTAATTTATGAATTTTTTATTACTTTATAAAATGTTTTTAGTTACATATATTCGCTGTGTGTGTCAGAAATTGCCCGAGCTAGAGAAGTCTCTGGTACGCTTAAACTCTGGTGATGAGAATGCAGTTAAATCTGTAATTGAGGAATTCTCTACAGATGTTCAGATTGATGAAGAGAGTGTTTTAAACAAGTAAGAAATCAAAAATAATTAAAAGCAGTTATTCCCAAAAAGATTAGTAAGATCAATCTGCTTTGGTTCAATTGCAGGCAGTCAGTAATTGATGAATGTTTTTCCAAGGATACTGTGGAGGAGATAATAAAATCATTTGTAAGTTTTATGTTTCTATGAGGGGAGAAATCATAGATTCCAATGGATGTTTGTTAGGAAATGGCATGCGTAATTGATATTTTCTCTCAGGAAGCTGAGGCAAGCAAAGAAGGAAATGGTTGGATTGGTGCTGTGCTCAAGGGCTTAAAAAGATCATCTCCTACAGGATTGAAGATAACACTAAGATCGGTAATGTTTTCTTTTGAAACAACATATGACAGAAGCTATACTGTATTTTATAGTGTGAATCGTTCCATAAGAAACGATTAAATGGAATGGGGAAATGTCATATGAATGTTAGGTAGGCTCAAAAGTGGAAAACAATTTTGTCCAAGTATGATTGTTTTCTGTTCTCCATGAAAAATGTTTTCTGTTAGACTAACGTTTTTTATCATACGAAACACCAAAAAAACGTGAAAAACCTTTTCCACTTCTAAAGGTGGAAAATGTTTGCCAAACTGAAGTCTTACCAATGCTGCCACACACATGACCACCACCACCACCACCACCACAAGCACAACCACAGTACCGCTTAACAGCCACCGCTGACGCCATCCTACCACGACCTCTACCACTACTACTACCACAACCCCACTGTTGTTGCCGCTGCTGCCCCACCACTGCCACCATCACCCCTACCAGCACCACCACTACCACTAGCACATTAATTTCAAGGTTGTGACCAAACATAGGAAAAAGTTTTTTATAGAAATACAAAAAGCATTAATCTTTTCCTCTGAAACAAATGGAGCATAGTAAAAACAATGCCTAAATAGTACACATTAATGTATGTTTGGGAGGGGAAAGATTGGGTACACACCTAACATTTAATATAGTGTACAAAGTAGTTGTCTCGAGACTTGAACCCATAACCTCAAGGTTATTAGGCCAAAATTTTACCATTGAACCAACAGTCACATTGTTTTACATTTATGATTGTTGTGGCAGATATCTGGTGTTATGTATAATGACTATCTATCTTATTATTTGCTTAATCCAAACATGTTGGATGAATTGCTCACTTATTGTTTTGTTCTGTTTAAGATAATACATTATTCAAGACAGTTTGATCTCGTTAACAATCTTGTTTTGTACATCTAAAGAACAAGCCAAAGCTGCTTCTATGTGGTTTAAATTTTAAATCTAAGATGGAATTCAAGTTTTAAGTTTCATCTCTTGCATTTAGCGCATCTGTTTCACTTAATTGTACTTCATTATCAGATTCGTGAAGGAAGGAAACAAACGTTGTCTGAATGCTTGAAGAAAGAATTTAGGGTGACAATGAACATACTACGAACCATGATATCTGGTGATGTCTATGAGGTAATTGATAATTTATTGGCCTTCTACAAACAAAGTTCACAATGATATATGATGTTGAAAATTCAAGTTGATTTCCAACTCTGACGGGAGCTTTTCTCTTCTTTCTGGAGAAAAAGGGCATCAGAGCTCTTACTATTGACAAGGACAATGCGCCAAAGGTATCTCTCTCTCTCTCTCTCTCATTTGATGAGTCGAAATGCCAAAATGAATTAAAAGTGAATCTGGACAAAAAAAATTGGATATCTTTTTTCAACAAGACTGATTATATCTAACCATTCTCAAATCCTACACTGGCAGGAGTCTCTTTGTATTGAGCTGCCCATTTTTGTTTTAAAAAATTTACATGTTATCATTATCAGTTTGAAGATTTAACTCATCTTTTGATGATTAGCTTAATTGTTTAAACTCGGCCAAAATTTTGGCTAGTACTAGCAAAAAGAATTCATGCCACAAAAATTTGCTAAAATTCAATCCCCTCTCTCTCTCTCTCGATTAATTATGGTATTGTTACAGTGGGACCCTCCGACCCTTGACAAAGTAAATGCCGAGAAAGTGAACTTGGTGTTTCAGCCATTTAGAGAGGATTTGGAGCTCCAGGTTCCTAAAAAGGAAGAGTGCAGGTTAGTTTAATTAAATCCAAATTTCTTGTTGCATATAGCTGATTAAAAAATTTCTTAATTGCATATTGATTTCTAGTAGAAGGCAGAAAGAGTTGATTGTTTGTTTTTCTTTTCTCATCACACGAATGTACAGGTGGGACGGAAAATATGAGAATTCAGTCTATGCAACAATGGTGGTCGAAGAATCGAAGTCTATTTAACTTTTTCTGTCGAAATTTCCATGATGTTTGGCTGTTATGTGATTGATATCATGCACTTTTCTGGCTGTATTTACAATAGTAGGTTAAAAAACTTTAAAAGCTTTCTGTTGTGATTGAAAGATAATAAATGAAATTATCAATAAAATAAGTAATACTGCCTTCTTTTTTTCTTCAAAGAATTCATGCTAGAAAAGAAGGGCATTGATGTTAAATGGGATGGGTTTTTGGTTAAAAAAAACTCCTCAACCCAATATCCTCTCAAACCTATGTTGTAAGACCTTGTTTTGAAAATACGGCTTAAAATTTAATTTTTTAAGATAGTGATGGCGATGACAGTGTGCCGGTGGTTGTGTCAGGTAGGATGGAATTGGTGACTGGTGGTTGGTGATGATGGTGTAATGGAGATGTTGGCGGGGGGTGATGGCGGGTACATCTCAGCGGTGGCATAATCATAAAAGATTAAAACTTTTGCACTCAACATCAAGTAGAAGTTTGTGACTTAAAATTTTAGCCTATTTTTAATGCCGTAAAATTTTAAGTGACATGAATTGTGATTGTGAAAACAGAGTTAATTTATTTTCATTTGAAAAATATAAAAATCCGCTAGATATTGATTTGTAATTATGTATTAATTTTAAGCAGTATATAATAATCTCAATCAAACAATCAAGACAAATCGACACAACGATTTTACGTGGAAAAATCACAATTAGAGCACCTCCAATTGTGATAAAAAAAATCACGGGCAACTGTCACAAAACAATCTACTAAGAAGATATAAAGGAATTACGCAGGTATACTCTTAATTACCTGGCGAATCCATACCCGAATTGAACTAACTCCTATGTGCTTCTTTCAGCCCTATCTTCACCTCGGAATTGTCTTGACGATGAGTCACTCCAGAATCCACCAAAGCTTCAGGTTCGAATTCTTCAGAATCCACCGAAGAATAACTTTCTCTTTTGTATAGAATGAACAAATAATCCTTTGATGTATCCTCCTTAAACCATGAGTTGAATATTCAATGAAACATCAAAGAAAACTAGCAAAATAGCCCCAGATATAAACCCTAGAACCCAAGAAAAAGATCTGGAGGTATAACCCTCGATTTGGAGCAACATGCGAATTTATAGAATCTGAAATCGCGAGGTCCGCTCGAGCGTGGGAATGGACGCTCAAGCGGGGACACTATATGACGTGTTCCAAACCAAAATGTACGCTCGAGCGGGGATTTCGATGCTCAAGTGTGAAAACACGGATCACAATATTTTTGCAGACACACGTACTTCTGGAACTCACCAATCTCCGCTCGAGCGGGGGAATGTACACTCGAGCGAACAAGCAACTTTGAATGTATTTTCACATTTTGCTTCGAGGGCGCTACCCCTTGACCCTGCCTAGGCGCTGCCCCCTGGACCCCCGAGAGCTGACCGGGCAGCTCGATCCCCGTCATAGTCAGCGAAGTGGCAATCTTGAAAGAATTAACATCACAAAACTTCTCTACAAGGCACAATTCGGGTTGGATTCGCATCTAAAAACTCATAGCCTCACTGAAATAAAAAGTGCAAAAACAAATACAACTGAAAGGAGTTTTGTCAAACGGGGTTGCCAAGAATAAAAACCTAACAATCTCCCCCTTTGACAATGCCGTGACAAAATAAACCTAACAAATAAAATCCTAATCACCACAATCCATTACAGCCAACAAATGCAAAATTCTTTCTCAAGGTCATGATCTGCAAAACAACTATTAGTGCCACAATCTGTACAACAACTATTAATTCCACAAGAGTATATGAAAAAACAATAAACCTATGAGATGGAAACACATGAATAGATGCGACTTGGAGATTTTAAGAACATGTAGCATGAATAGATGAAAACTAAGACACATGCACCCGACACATAACATGAAACATGAAAAACAACTTTTTCCCCCTTTTTGTCACGAATTGACAAAGGAAGCTCAATCAACTAAAGTAAAATCAAAAACCACACAAGCAATGATATGATGATGTAAATATCACGAGCATGCAAGAAGGAAATAATAAGCAAACAGTGCATAGCAACATGCAAAACAACTATAGCCAATCTCCCTTACCAAACAAATCAAAGTGTTCGTGCTAACAAACTCTAGTAATGATAAACCAAACTCCCCCTCACTAAAAACAATGAACAAGAAGAAAAACAGCAAAAAACAATATGGTGGAGCAAGCAGGGAATTTTAGATTTGTACCTTAAAACACACAAGACTATCCAAAACTATCCAAGAAGCACAATTACTTGAAAACACAATGTGCACAGCCTCTAGAAAATTCCTCATAAAAGAAAGTGATGCATTATGTGAAAAGCATAGATCCCATAAGAAAAATGTGTGTGTGACTCTTAGAGTTCGACAAACACGAGATTCAAATCCTAGTAGTGATTTGATAGCTGGACCTCCGGTATGAGAATCTAAGCACAACAAAGGAAAGTCAAACCACTAGGAATCAAGGGGTATTTGGTGAGTAAAAGCGGAGGCTCCCCCTCAATCAATGAATCCCTTTTTTTTTCTTTCTTTTTCACATTTTTTTTCTTTTCGTTTCTTTCTTTTACATATTTTTTCTTTCTTTTTCACACTCTTGGCGGCTGACACGCTCAAGAGTATGGAAACCGAACCAGGGAAGCATGGATATAATAAGGATAGCCTGGTTGTGACTCTGAAGTAGCCTTTTCCTCATGGCTGGACTCCAAAGAACATAGGGGAAAGCCGTGGAGATACAAAAAGATGGAATGTTGTTAAGAGACTCAACATCACCCATGATGTGCTAGTATATGTCAATTCCTCTAGAAAAGCAAAAGATACGATGCCATAAGTCCATAGAGAAAAATAATCACTAAGGCGGAAGACTCCAAAATTTGCTAATCCAAGAGTGTGTACATAATGAGACATACTAATCATAGAACACACACTCCAAAATGAGTAATGACCACAGAAAGCACACACATATTAACATGTAATGGATATTCTCATCAATTCCAATATGCACCAAGGGCTACTCAAAAATTTCAAACTTGCAAAACCATACTAAGAAAATCTTTTTGATTTTGATTTTTTTATTTTTAAAACAAAGCAAGACAGAAAATGAATAGGCACACATTAAAAGACAGAAAAAGGAAAAAAAACACACAGAAACCCAAAAACTAAAACGACTAAACAAATTAACACAAGTCAAGTTTTCTCACCCAAACTGCTTTAGTATGAACAAAGTTGTGAGAATGGCGGTTCTTGGGTGGTGTCTTGACGTTGTGGTTCCCTTCCCCTTTAATGAGTACCCGTCGTGACATGGTTTCCAACTTCCTATTCCTAGGACTAGGAAAACACAACCTCTATTCATGTTTGGTCTCAAACATATCAAAATAACAAAGTCTAATATGACTTTTAACCTTATTACCACCAAAGAAGTGTCTCATACCCCACGAGATATTGGAGTTTCTTCTATCTCTATGAGACACTTTCCCATGCAACTCATAACAATGAGGGCAAATATAACCATGCATACCACAATGATGACAAATAAAAACAGAGGGTACCTTCTTTTCTTTGGCCTTACCAACTCTAGGAAGTTTGAGAAGTCCATCCTCATGTTGAATTTTTTGTTCTCCCTTTCCTTGAGTTCTTGTATCATGAGATGTGGAAGCACTCTGTTTTTGCTCTTTCTTACCACCAAAGCCAATGCCACTCTTGTCAGAACAAATTTGTTGAGACCCAATGATATTATCCAAAGTTTTTGATCCTCTGTTCCAAAGACCAATGGTGGCCATAGCACACTTGAGTTTTTCCTCTTTCTTGATTATTAGTTCTTCCAAAACAACTTGAGACATCTCGAGAGTTTCAATTTTTTCTTCATATGTTGCATAGATTTGTTGTAGCTCATTCTTCTTTGTCTCACAAGTCAAGAGTTTTACACAAAGAGCTTGTCGATCATTAGAAATCTTAAGGACATCATTCCTAGCCTCAGAAATCTCTTTCTTTAATTTGACATTCTCACTTTCACATGCTTTGAGTTTCGTAATGAGTTTGTCATTAAATTTGGATAAGTTAAGAGATTCCTTATACAACTTTTGATATGCTTGCTGAAATTCTTTATCTTCACTCCCCGAGGATTCATCATCAGTGGCATTTTTAATCGGGCTCTTCGGATACTTTATTCGTCCATCAGTTTCAGAAGTTGCCATGAAGGCAAGAAATTGTTTGTGTCCCTCTTTGCCTTGATCTTCGTTGTCACTTTCATCTTTATTAGATTCTGATTCATCATCCCAAGTGATAGCGAGGGCTTTCTTCTTCCTCAAATGAGTGGGGCATTCTTGAGCAAAGTGGCCAAATCCTTAGCATTCATAACATTAGACTCTTTCAGAGTTCCCTTGTATCTTTCCTTTCTCCTTCTTGGCTATAGAATTAATTTTGAGTTTATCTTTGCCTTTGGATTTATGAGTATTAGTAGAGTCCAAAAGATTAGGATTCTTTTTCAAAAAAGATTTTTTAAATTATTTTACAAAAGTATCTGTAATCTTGGAATTTATCTCACAGTCCTTATCAGAATCTACTCCAACTCTATGAGCACTACTAAAAGCAATAACATCTTTTTGTTTCTTATTGAAATTCCTATGTGCCTCATAAGTTTGGAGATTTCCAACCAAATGATCTAGCTTGAGGTTATCAACATCTTGAGCCTCCTTAATAGCCGTAACTTTTGGTTAAAACCGATCGGGCAAAGACCTCAAAATTTTTCCTACAATCTTGGATTCTGGTATTTTTTCACCTAAATTGAAGTTGGAATTTACAATGTCACTCAACTTCGCATAAAATTCATCAAAGGTCTCACTATCTTTCATTGAAAGGTTTTCGAAACTAGACGTGAGCCTTTGAAGTTTTGAGCGTTTAACAGGAAGAGTGCCCTCATGAATAGTTTGTAAGATATCCCAAGCCTCTTTTGCGACTTCACAACTGCAAATGCGACTAAACTCTTCAGGTGTGACAGCGCAAAAGAGAGAATTGATAGCTTTACTATTCCAACTACTATTTTGGTAATCAATTGTGTCCCACTTATCAATTGGTTTGGGAAAAGTTACTCCATCAACGGTAATCGTTGGTTCGGTCCACCCATACATGACAGATTGTCAAACATTTTTATCA